ATTTAGATTTACGAAATATCTGTGGGAAATTGATTCATATTTACTGATAATCTAGGTGAAATTAATTTATATTTATTAATTAAATGGCTGAAATTGATTTAGATTTACTAAAGATCAGCATAAAAATTTATTTGGATTAAGTAAATAATATAAATGATATCAACTCATATTTTAGCACATTATTGCTTAATTCAACACAGTAACACTGTTGTTCTTAGACATCTGTAGCTAAAATAATTGATAAATTCTAAGTTGTTATTTGTGTCATAGGACTTTAAATCTATTCAATAATATTGAGTGTCACTTTGTTGCCATAATTTTTTTAAGTCTAATTTACACAATATCCTGACCAAACTTGAGTGGCATCAAAAATCAACAAATTAAACAGCAGCAGCATTTCTTTGTGAAACTTTATAAAACGTAATTATCCAGCACCCAACAAGTGCAAAATTCCAAAATACAACAATAAAACAGAGAAGGGGCAATATACAATATATCAGTATGAAGTCAAAAACATAGTGCCACTCTGCTCAAAGTATAGTTAACATGATTTTTTAGAACAATCACATCAACAACAATCAACTTGGACTCAGTTAAGCTTGCTTCAACAATTTATCAATCACATAAACATAGTTAACTTTATGTTTAAGAGGCATGCAGAGCACAACACAAGTATAAATCTTACCTGGGGAAAACACGACAAGATGTGAGAGATGGGCAAGACTTTTGAGGCATAAAAACGTCCATTTTCTTATTTTGCATGTTTATGCTACATCTTGTCACTGTGTTGGGGCCCTTGGCTCCGTGACACTTACTTTCCTTTTCGAAAAATAAGTTGAAAGACAGAACTGAACAAAAACATATTATATAAAGTGCAAATGAAACACAACAGCGTTTTGCAGCCTGCAGATCATCACCCTTCAGTGGTGAAGCCTGCATGGACTCTCCAAAAAGGCAATAGTGGATTCTCTATGCTGTATAAAAGGGACAAGGGTTCATGTGACAGACCTGAACAGATCCAAAGCCATATAACAGGCCGCACTACCATATATGAGAACAAGGGGTCAGTCCTTAGAAAGGCTAGTTAACTGTAATGTACTGCAAGAAAAAATACACATGCAAAATCCACTGAACTGAAAATTACCCAAATTTTAACTAACTTCACAGAGCATGTCACAAAGTTTTGTGTGTTGGTTTTGACAGTGACTTGCCTATTCCCTTTTGTTTAGTAAGGGTTCGTTTTCTTAAGCCAGTAGTTTATTCCTGAGGCTGTTCACTTTTGTGGAGAGCTTTGAACTATCCAGTCCGAGGAGAAGTTTCTGAAACACTTCAAACGTGTATCTGAGCTTCTTTGGATAGGCAAGATTCACAGCATATGCCAACCCAACAAGCAGGGAGCAAGCCCTTGGAAAGTTACCCAGAGCAGTTAGAATTTTCACGCCGTCCACCACGATACCGATGTCTGGATCCTCTGACGTCTTAGCTTTGATGTTGTAGATCTTCAGGCTTTGAACAGCAAACAGCATCCTGTAATAGCAAGAACATTGTGCATATTAGACAGTACAGCCAAAGGAGAAGGTTCCATTTCCCAAATTGCTTACAACTGTTTGGACAAGAAAATCTGGAGTTTGTCAGCCGTTGCTAGTAATGCACTCTATTTATGTCAGTGTTTTAGACAAATATGAGATAACATTATCTCATATTTTAAATTAAAAATGAATTTAAAAATTAAAAAAGACAAATATAAATCAATCATAATAAAATATTATATTATAATATAATCAATTATACAATGATGAGCTGAACAGTTATAAATATTTCTAAATGAAGTTTCTGAAATTAAATCAATCCATTACACTATTATTTCTTCCTGACACTGTCTTGATTAATATCTTATTCTGCATTGCCTCAGTCTTTCTGTAAAAATGTCTTTGTATTCACAAAGCTGCGCCTTGGCCATAATTTCTTAGCTCGCTTTTAGGGACAAATTGCAAAGACTTAAAAAAAAATCAAGTTATGGTTAGGTAAAGCATTCTTATGAAAAAAATTAAATAAATTACTGCCAAGTTTTAAATTATGCCAGTTGGTAAAATGAAATTGAGATAGCATTCTGCACTAGCACTTAAAAATTTCTTAATGGAAAATAAAAATTAAAACACTTAACAGAGGACAATGATAGCTTACCAAGAACTACTGGGAGAAATAAAGTTATGACTATTTTGTAATTTGACTTTCCAACGAATACCAATTAGAAGAGTTGAGATAAATCACCTACTTTATATTTTAACATCTACTTAAACTTACATCGTACTCTTTTAAGAGTTGATCTGTAGATTCCCCAAGGTACATCATCAAACATCGAATGATAACGTCTCTGGTCATGTTGATGTCAGGATTGCTTGGAGTCTGAAACAAAAAAATAAACACCAGGTGATTTATATTACTGTTAATAAGCTCAAGGATCCTTCCTGTGCCATCTTGGGGACCAGTGTAATAAAACACTACTGAAACAAATTCTCATGCGATTATTTCATATTCCATTTATAAAGAGAATCACAGGCTAACCTCCAGTAAATTTAAGTAATGATATTCCAGAAGTTTAAAAACAAAATTTTGAGAATGAAAGATTAACAACCATAATGCTCAATGAAAGATACCTTGAGTAGGATAGCCTGCAACCTCAACCCCATGGTTCCGCCCTTGGAGTGGAAGAGGTTCAGAAGTCGAGGAGTATATTCATCCAGTTTGGACATGAACTTTGATTCAAGATGCACCATTGTGATTCTGTGAAACTCATCCTGGATCTGAAAGACAAATCATGAAACCAGTTTTAAAGCCTCAAATATTACAAAGATACATACTGTTCTTACGACATTTTTCAAAAGCAAGAAGATGGATCAAATTTGATCTATAAAATAGATGACAGTAACGCAACACATTTTGTATCAAATAGCTAAATGCAGAATCACAAATGCAATCCTTCACATTGACTAGGAATACTTCTGATTAGCATGCACTTATAACTCACGTGAGACGGCTCAAATAGAGCGGGCCATCTGGCTTTGATGTCCTCTATACTGGGAGATTGGTTGATGATCTCGTTTCTTCTGTGTGCAAATGTTTTGGCCATTTTTTCTTTTATCAATGCATTGTTGTCCTTTTTCTTTACTTCAGTAAGCAACTGAATCCTCTCTTGTTCTTGACTTTCTTCATCCTCTCCAGCCGGGTAAGGAGGAAGGAAGTTTACCTCTGCTTTTCGAGGCTTTTTTACATTCTTTGCAGACTTCTTGTCCGCAGGGGTCTTGCGTTTTAGTGCATTGCATAACACCTCAGGAACACCGTAGCCTCTGAGTTTGGTGCGATAATTTGACATCTTGTATTTAAGGCTTTGCTGCCAGCCATAGTAACCTGCAAAGGAACCGGGTTCCTTGAGACAAGGATATTTGTTGACAAGTGCCTCAGCAACATCACTTATCTGTGAACCTGATGGATAGGCTGTATAAGTATATACAGTTTCAGCCAGTTTCTCAAGTATGTCTGGCTTGATCTTCGAGGTAGTGAGAAGTGTTCCATTCTTCTTGTAGTCCTCATTGCCTCTTTCAAGGTACATCTCAGTTTCGTATGCAAACTGTGGAATGGGGAACTGCTTTGGCCATGACTGACAGCGTTCTGTGGTACTGCGCCCAGACAGGATAATGGTGTCCTGTGAAGAAGATGTTCCAGCAGTTGACTCTGCATTTGACTCTTCAAACGATGCAGAGTCACAGTCAGTGGAATGTTGAACAAAGGAACTGTCCAAACTTTCATTAGCTGCATACAAGTTCAGAAGAATAGGAGAAGTGTGAACAACCTTTATGGTGCCCTTGTGTTTGATAAGGTCATTGTTGTGAAGAGTAAAATAATCTTCAAATTCCACATCAAATACTGAAGACTGAACTCAGTAGAAATCCCAAAGGTGTCCTTCACAATATTATGCAGCTCCTCCACAGTGGGCGGGATGCCTGATGGAAGGTCCAACTTCTCAATTCGGTCGTCAATTATTACTCTGAGTTTTGCCTCCATCTCTGCCATCCAGACAAGAATAGACAAAAGTTAAATATATTGTTATACAGTACATGAAAAAAACCTGTATAAAAAAATTCATAAATAAAATCTGTACTTATTTAAGTGGAACACCACACTTATAATCATAACATTAAATGTGTGTGCCATAATTATGATTATTAAATTGCTATAATGTCAACAAAAAAGGATACTGTTGTTATATTTCCAGAACAATGATTTAAAAACAGATGTTATGAGATGTAAAGGTTAACATAATTTATCAAAATTACCTAAAACAAACAACAGATGTGACGTTTGAGTGTGACCAAGCGTTTTCCTCCCACGCTGTATGCAGCCAAGGGGTACACATCACCAAGTTTCTGCTGCTCAACAAGAGCCATCTTGCCAGTGTTCTCTAGTTGAAAAGATCTAAGATGCTCTTCATACCATGCATGTAGTAACTTTACAATAAAATGTGCACGGCTGTTTAAAATGGCTATCTGAATAATCTCAGCAAAGTCAGGAAGTCCTCCAGTAGAGCCATACGGCAAGATCATCCCAACAGTGTACTTTGTTCCATAGCAAGTGACAGTGTTAGCAAACTGCACGGAAGACAGAAGCGGTGATGTTTCTCTTAAAGCTTCCTGTATGTCTGAATGCAGCACATCTAAAGGCATCACAGATATTTTTGTGACACACAATGGCTGTTTTCCAACATCAGTATGTAAATGGCATGCCATCATCATCTGATGTTTTGTAGCAAGGGTCACCAATATATTTTTGAAGTTCTTTGTGTGCCTCACAACTTGCTTGAAAAAGCTGTGTTTCGCTTCAAAGCGCATTGTCCATACACCAACCAGAGGCCCATACTCTGCAATCAGTGCAGGGTAATGTTCTAAGTAATGGTGTTTGGGTGTCAGTGTCTCTTCAGGAAAAACTGCTAAGAATCTGTCACGATGCTCAGATATTTTAAAGTCAAGGTATGCAATAGTTTCAACTGTATGAACAGGGGCAACCACCAATTCAACAATATCTTTTAAAGTCAGAAGAACCTGCCAGGCAGCATCATCCTCAGGTACCCGTGAACCAACAATGAGTGGCAACAACCGTATTAGGGCCCAATTTTCATGGGCATTTCCTCCTATCGTTCTGCGACGAATGTAGTTTTGAGGGACTGCTTGAGGGCTGTTGGCTTTGTCTGGGCCCTTATAGGGAAAACGTGTGATTAACTCGTTGAGTTCAGTCAAATTAAAGTACTTCTTCTTGGTGAAAGTCTGAAAACACAATGCTAGTTCTCTTGGGACTATTCCTTCAAAAAGGTCATGTAGTGCATCTGGTGGATACCCAGACACAAAATGAAAGTGATTCAGTTTATCAGTCAATGGACACGACCGCTTAACGCCAAAGCAATGGGTTAAATTTGGATTTTCTCTCACAGTTTGTACATGCAAACTATGGTCCTTCTTTGTCCGAGGTGGAAACACTCCAGTCCGCACTTCGTGTGTCTGGTACTCTGAAGAATGTCCAAGACAAAATCTACAGATGTACGGCCCTGTGAAACTTTCAACTAGTCCGCTAATTGAATGTGCACCGAGATTATCGGCTACAACACAGTGTACAGTTCCTTTTACTCTTTTTCCAACACTGGAAATAAAATCCCGTCCTGTTCTAGAGTGGCAAGATCTTTCAAGAGGGGTTCCAAAACTGCTTTGTATTCAAACTGTTTGACATCAACAGCTTTGCAAAGTAAAGCTAGGTGTATCGACGTTAATGCAGACTGCAATTGGAAAGGTACATTTGCCAAAATCCAATAAATGGCTGTTATTTTGTGTTTTTTTTTGAAGTTCCTAGTGGGTTGCACACCTCAAAGTCATCGACATAAAGGATTACAGAGAGTTTTGTCTCTTCTCCAGCATAGAAGGCATTTTGCTTGAAAAGTTTGCCATCAAAAGTTGACTTAATATATCCAGTACTGTTTAAATGTCTGGATGAGATTCCCTCTGCAATGTGTTTATTCTTCAAAACCTTCTGCAAAGTCTCGAGAATAGGTACATATTGAAAGGTCTTGTTCTTTTGGAATCAAGGATATATTCAACAGGATCAACACACTGAAAATGCTCCTTAAAATACCTTCTTCTCTTAAAAGCTGAACCAAGTGGACCACCTACAGCAAATGCTGTACTAATGGGATGGAAGTTGCATAACTGTTCTGCCAAGTCTGTTATGATGGCCTGGTCAACAATGCTCTTATTTAACTTCAATGTTGAATCAAGTATATCTCTAACAACTTCAACAGATGCTGAAGATGAAATGAACTGAAGGTCTTCAACCAAGGCATCAATGCACTTTACAGAGGCATTATAGACACTTTCTAGCTTCAGCAGAAGTAAACCAATTCTTTGAAGAACCAAGTATGATGCACTTTCCTTATCACAATCTAAACTTGTGCACTCATTATGACTGGCCTCTAATGAATCAGGATGGTCAACAATCTGATCGTGGTGACTGTCATACACACCTTGCTTAAAACCGCTCAAAGAATAGGATTTGTGTGTTCTACTTTTGTGTTTCAGAAATGTATTGTATATATTTGTCCGAAAGCTGCATCCTTCAAATACACAAAAGACAGTTTCGTGGCTCTTTAGGTGATTTCCGATATGCTGAAAGTAGTCCTTTTCTGTAGAACAACTAGCACTGCAAACTAAGCACTTAAAAGCAGAGATGATTCCTGGCTGTATAATGACATGAGCTGTATGATACCTGGACAAATGTGTGCGAAGGGCACCCCTGTGTTTTAAATGTGCAAGGGCAACTGTCATATAGACATGGCTGGGTTTGCCCACGACCAAATGTTGCGTGTTGTAGTCTGTAATGTTTTAGTAGATTCCCCTTTGTTGCAGACAAAGACTTGCAGATCTTACACTGCCCACCCCATAGGCCAGAACCTAAGATAATAAGAAAAAAAGGTGTTTTTAAATTAGTGTATAACTAGTAGCATACATCACTAATAGATCTAGTAATTAAATAATGTGCCAGGGCTGAACAATTATCAAAATTTTATCAAATTGCAATACAGCCTACTGCAATTTTCAAATCACAGGAGGTACAACATGTCTTAAATCTTAAAAAAATATTTTAAATGAAATGTTCTACTGCAAAAATGTCCTGGCCTACACATCATAATCTAGAGACTTAAAAAAAATAAATACGTTACACATCCCTGCAAGAATCACGCCATAATCATCTTAATTTTCCAATGAAAATAAGAGCTCTATAATATACCAACTATGGATGAATACCTCATCCAAACCAACTACAAAAAATGAATTATCGTTTTAAGATGATAGACAAAACATGAAACAGATTTTAAGGTAATATGCAGATCAACAAATGCCAAACAATAAATATTAATGTCAAAGATGCCCAAAACGGACTAACGAAGCATTTCTCTCAGTCTCTCTGTGGCAGCAGTCAGTACGAAGCTCTACGTACTGATTTCAACCCAACATTCACAGACGCATCTCACTGTGACTGTTTATCTGTCAGTGTGAGCTGCAACCACAGTTTGAAAGCAAAACGTTTTTCCGAGAAAACAGGAAAAACGAGGAAGCCATTTGTGCCATCTGAATGTAACTAACGTAACGTTAGAGCCTCAGTGAGAGCCGGTGAACTTGGGTTTAGCAAAACACCAGCCACTGTGCTCAAATCACAATAACAGACGTTCCATGAAAATAACGCCAAATTAAAAGAAGAAAGAATAAACTGCGCACTTTGTCTCAAAATGTAAAAAGGCAGATTTTTCTTCCGAAATGTGTAACGTTATAAAAAATGATTAGAAATCAGCTTTTAACATGCTACTTGAGTAAAAATGTTACTTGAGTACATTTTAATTGTAAAAACTAAATGCAGTAACTTTAAACGAAACTCTTAACTTGATTAGCCTCTCACCGTTGAAAACAACGTCTGTTCCTCCATTATGGAGCCCAAACATGCTAGCTAGCTTGTTGTGTGGGGAGGGGGAGCTTGAGCTGAGGCCAAAAAACTTCATTAAATAAAAGAGTAGCTTGTATTCTACGGCCACTATATATCGGTATTACGTTAGTCACATTAAATTGTGACAGAGACTACTTTTTCAATCATTGCGATGTATTTAGTCAAATCAAAGACTTCGAATCCTTCACACTATAACTTTAAAGTTGCCATGTTTGGTCATTTGCAGTAAATTGTTTAACTGCTACAAACACTTGAATTGTTTAACTAAGAACAATTAAAACATGTCTTACCTTTAAGCAAACGGTAGTCCATGAAATGCCAAGCAGACTGGATGTTCAAATGCCTTGGGGCGGGAAAAATAAAGGCCTCCCAATGAGTAAAATTTATCAATTTTCTGCACTTTTGACTTTACCAATGAAAATAAATAAATTCTACTTATTGTTTTTCTGCTGATTTTATTGAAATAAAAACCGAGTAGAATGCAATTAAAATATATTCAAAATTTGGTTAATTCAGCTCAGTGAGATTCAAAATTGCACAAAGTCTTTTTTATTATGTATAGTTTGCTCTTATTTATTTAGCAAATATTACTAAACCCTGATCACACTTTTTTCAGTGTGTAACATCTGCACAACTGAGGTACTCTATATCTGAGGAAGTTAACGATGGGACTGCGGTTGGAAATTTAGTAAAAGATTTGGGCTTAGATAAAAGCACTCTGAAGAGCAGAAAATATCGTGTTGTTTCTGGAGGTGCGGATCCCATTTTCTATGTAAACGTAAGTGACGGCGTCCTTTATGTGACCCGAAGGATTGATAGAGAAGAGGTGTGCGCTCAGAGTAGCGTGTGTCTAATAAATGTTAAAACCGTGTTAGAAACCCCTCTCGAGGTACACAACATTGCGGTGGAGGTGCTGGACATAAATGACCACTCGCCCAATTTCTCCGAAACAGAAAAAATCCTGGAGATTTCAGAGTCTGTGTTGCCCGGAGCGCGATTTCAGCTTAAACCCGCACGGGATCTCGATAGCGGCCAGTTTTCGATTCAGCAATATAAACTTGGCCAAGACGATCACTTTCGATTAGAAGTCAGAGATAAAGAAGATGATGGGAAAATACCAATATTGGTTTTGAAAAAATCGCTGGATAGAGAAGCCGCAAGAAGCCACTCCTTAGTGCTGACCGCGTTGGACGGGGGAAAGCCTCCAAAATCTGGGGATATGAAAATTATAGTAAATGTTTTGGATGTAAATGATAATTCACCAATTTTCTCAATGGATGTTTACTCTGCCACTCTTGTGGAAAATGCTCCCCTGGGAAGCCCAGTTGTACAGGTGAATGCGACTGATTCGGACGGCGGTCAGAATGGAGAAATAGTTTTTTCATTTGGGAACAGTGTGAGTAGCAATATATTCAACATTTTTGATATAAACGAATCAACAGGGCAAATAACTGTGAAGGGACTTGTAGATTACGAGCAAAAAGAAAAATATGAAATTGAAATTCAAGCATCTGATAAAGGTTTAGCTCCGTTAACTGCGGAAAAAAACGTGATCATTAAAATAATGGACGTAAACGACAATGCACCTGAGATTGAGATAACTTCATTTTCCAGTTTAATCCCTGAAGATTCTAGACCGGGAACAACAGTAGCTCTTATTAGTGTTAATGACTTGGATTCTGGTTTAAATGGAAAAGTGATCTGCTCAATCGGCGAGGCTGCTCCATTTTCGTTATTGCCATCCGTGCAACATAATATGTTTTCACTTGTAACTAAATCACCTTTGGACAGAGAGAACACGTCGCATTATGAGCTGACAATAACCGCAAAAGATTCGGGACAGCCTCCATTATCATCGGTAAAGACAATCAACGTTGAGGTGTCAGATGTGAATGACAACTGCCCAGAGTTTTTGCGGAGCCCGTACACTTTCTACATCAATGAAGGAAACGAACCAGGGGCTAATGTCTTTTCTATCAAAGCTTTTGACAGGGATGACAGTAAAAACGCGATAATTTCTTATTATATTTTGAGAGAGGCACACGAAGATAATAAGTTGATATCTTTTCTTAACATAAATACTGAAACTGGAAACATTGTGGCGCTGAAAGGTTTCGATTTTGAAACTCTGAAAACTTTCCACTTCCAAGTTGTCGCCACTGATTCTGGGACTCCGTCACTCAGCAGCAACGTCACAGTGAACGTGTTCATTCTGGATCAGAACGACAACGCTCCAGTCATCCTGTATCCACTCAGCTCCAATGGTTCTGCTGAAGGTGTGGAGGAGATTCCACGCAACGTGAACGCAGGACACTTGGTGACTAAAGTCAGAGCCTATGACGCTGATATAGGATATAATGGCTGGTTGCTGTTTTCACTGCAGGAAGTTACTGACCACAGTCTGTTTGGTTTGGACCGATACACTGGACAGATCAGAACACTTCGCTCATTCACAGAGACAGACGAGGCTGAACATAAACTGGTCATACTGGTCAAAGATAATGGCAACGTTTCGCTATCAGCAACAGCTACTGTGATTGTGAGACTGGTGGAGCCAAAAGAGGCTTTTGCAGCTTCTGATGTTAAAAGTGCAGCAAAGGATGATAACGATGATCATGTGACTTTTTACCTGATGATAACTTTGGGCGGAGTTTCTGTTCTGTTTATCATCAGTATCATCGTGCTGATTGCAATGCAGTGCTCCAAATCCACAGACTACACTTCTAAATATCTTCAAGAACCTAATTATGATGGGACACTTTGTCACAGCATCCAGTACAGATCTGGAGACAAACGCTACATGTTAGTTGGACCCAGGATGAGTATTGGATCTACCATAGTACCTGGAAGTCATGCAAACACGTTGGTGCTACCTGACAGGAGAACATCTGAAGAGGTAAGATTAAATTTAGATACGTTTTGAAAAAAAAAAAAAAACAAACAAACAATTAAGACATCATTCATATTTGATTTTAAATGGGAGAAAATATAATTAAATAAAATGGTGATACTAAATATCTTTCTGCTGGAACCCCTCTTTCCAGCTAAGTTTTTGAATAAGAAAACAATATTTTTATAACTTTTCGTATTTTTTTCTTTTTTAAGATGGTGCAAAAAACTAATTGAAGTGCAATTTAGCATATTTTCCAGAGACTATCTGTAATGTCCCTGTCCCAGCTCCACGGCAAATTCAGTTTTCATCGCTCTCCTTGGTGCTGATTGATTTCGAGCTTGTGCCCCGGTCATTGAAAAAAACAAGGTTACATCATCAGTAAATTGTTCAAAAATTAGTCATTGTAAGTCTTATGATAAACCAGTTAGTATTATTATTGTTATTATTATTATTATTATTATTGTTGTTGTTGTTGTTGTTGTTGTTGTTATTATGACTGAAGTTGTTAACGTGAATAAATAAACACATCTGTGTAATTTGTAAACTGTTTGAAACTTTCAGCCATTGTAGTTAGCCACTGCATCGCTTGGTGTCAGTGTGCTTGTGTAATAGCGGCTATATCTTTCGTCACTGCTTCGTAGTTCCACCTCTTTTACCTTCCCATCGCACTTACTGCTGGATATAATCGTTTGGCTGTCTTTGTAAATAATACGCATGTTATTTGAGGGAGTGTGGACATTTTGGAACCCGGATTTTGTGCGTTACTTTCTGTGGACCATATTGTTTCTTATTTGGACTGATATTGTTTGATGTATGTTTATTTTTTTCATAATGGAACAAAGAGGATTCCACGCGGCATGGATGAGGCAGCGTCTGATCGCGTGCGCGACCGCTTTGCTCTTCCTCAGTGTTTCCTCTGCGCAAATGAAATATTCTATTTCTGAGGAGGTGAAGGAGGGAACTGTGATCGGGAACGTAGCGAACGACCTCGGGTTGGATCAAACCACGCTAAAAGACAGAAAGTATCGCATTGCAACCAGTACGGTCGATCACCTCTTTCATCTTGATCCGAACGATGGCATCCTTTATTTGAGCCGAAAAATAGACAGAGAAGAGGTTTGTGAACACGCCATTACGTGCGAAATAAACATAAAAACTGTCCTGGAAAATCCACTGGAGGTCCACTATGTTGGTGTTGAAGTGTTGGACATTAATGACAATTCTCCCGCTTTCCCGGAGAATGAGACGGTGGTGGAAATTTCTGAGTCAGTTTTGCCTGGAGTGCGTATTCCACTGCAGCCAGCCCGCGATCCAGACGCGGGAATATTTTCTATTCAGCGTTATAAACTAAGCTCTAGCGACTACTTTCGCTTAGAAGTCAAAGATACGGGAGACGATGGCAAAATCCCCGTACTGATTGTTCAAAAGTCATTAGATAGAGAAATATCAGCAAGGCATACTTTGGTGCTTACTGCTCTAGACGGAGGGAAACCTCCAAAGTCTAGCGAATCGGATATTGTTGTAAATGTTTTGGATGCAAATGACAACGCGCCTGTCTTTTCCAAAGATGTTTATTCGGTAATGCTTGAGGAAAATTGTCCACTCGGCACAACAGTCATCAAGATAAATGCGACAGATTTAGACAGCGAAAGGAACGGGGAAGTAGTGTATACTTTTAGCAACAGTGTAAATCGTAAATTATTTAGGCTTTTTGAAATTAATCCATCCACGGGTGAGATAACTGTTAAAGGTTTAATAGATTACGAGGAAAGGGATAGATATCAACTTGAAATCGAGGCATCAGATAAAGGTCTCCCTCCTCTTTCAGCTCAAAAAAGTATCACTATTAAAATAATAGATATGAACGATCATGCACCAGAGATTGAGATTACTTCATTTTCCAAATCGATCCCCGAAAATTCCCCACCAGGAACCACAGTCGCTCTGATCAGTGTAAATGACTTAGACTCGGGTCTTAATGGAAAGACTATCAGCACACTCAATGATGATATCCCTTTTATTTTATCACCATCTTTACAAGACAAAATGTATTCACTGGTAACCAAATCACCCCTTGACAGAGAGAAACAATCACACTACGTCATAATAATAACATCAAAAGATGCTGGTCAACCACCACGTTCATGTGAAAAAGCAATAAGCGTTGTGGTATCAGATGTAAATGACAACTATCCAGAATTCTCAATGAGCCCATACAAGTTTTATGTAACTGAAGGCAATAATCCAGGAGCCTATTTGTTTTCTGTGAATGCTTTTGACCGTGATGAAAATAGTAATTCAATAGTGTCCTATGAAATTTTGAGAGATGCAGGGCGAGATAGTACAGTTTCCTTTATTAATGTTAACTCAGAAACTGGAGACATTATGGCAATGAAAAGCTTAGACTTTGAAACACTAAAAACTTTCCAGTTCCAAGTTGTCGCCACTGATTCTGGGACTCCGTCACTCAGCAGCAACGTCACAGTGAACGTGTTCATTCTGGATCAGAACGACAACGCTCCAGTCATCCTGTATCCACTCAGCTCCAATGGTTCTGCTGAAGGTGTGGAGGAGATTCCACGCAACGTGAACGCAGGACACTTGGTGACTAAAGTCAGAGCCTATGACGCTGATATAGGATATAATGGCTGGTTGCTGTTTTCACTGCAGGAAGTTACTGACCACAGTCTGTTTGGTTTGGACCGATACACTGGACAGGTCAGAACACTTCGCTCATTCACAGAGACAGACGAGGCTGAACATAAACTGGTCATACTGGTCAAAGATAATGGAAATGTTTCACTATCAGCAACAGCTACTGTGATTGTGAAACTGGTGGAGCCAAAAGAAGCTTTTGCAGCTTCTGATGTTAAAAGTGCAGCAAATGATGATGAGGAAAATGATGTCACGTTTTACCTGATGATCACTTTGGGAGCTGTTTCTGTTCTATTTATCATCAGTATCATCGTGCTGATTGCGATGCAGTGCTCCAAATCCACAGACTATACTTCTAAATATCTCCAAGAGACTAATTATGATGGGACACTTTGTCACAGCATCCAGTACAGATCTGGAGACAAACGCTACATGTTGGTTGGACCCAGAATGAGTATTGGATCTACTATAGTACCTGGAAGTCATGCAAATACACTGGTGCTTCCTGACAGGAGGAAAACATCTGAAGAGGTAAGATTACATTGTGGTGGTGGTCACAGGGCACAGTGCTGCCAGTGCAGGGGACCTGTGGCAAGAATGTGGTAGCTTGCCAGCATCAGCATGTGTGTGTACTGAATTGGTGAATGACTGAATGAAGTTCAAAGCGTTTTGTAGACTTTTGTGCTAGAGAAAGTGCTGTGGAGGTACATTCCATTTACAAGCCATTTTAATTCAGATATTGTCTGAAGATACCTTTATAATGTCATACAATTTTCAATTTAAATCGGAGTGAAAAGAACTAAGTAATATGTCAAGGTGGAAGTAGTAGGCGAGCATGTTTATATGACCAGCACTGGTTACTGATGTTGTGGTGACCACACACAAGACAAAAATGATGTGATATCTTTTTGCTCATGCAGCTCTATTTCAGCTTAGATTTTAGTGAAGTCAACAATATTTTCCTTACTCTCCATAATTTTTTTTGTGTTGTTGTGGTGATGACAAGGGTACATCAAGGTTTTTTTTTCTTTTTTTTCCCCATTACTTTAAAAAAACTTGCTGTGTTGTCATCTGTGCAAGAAGTGAAGCATTAATTATAATGCTTTCAAGTACACCAGATCACCTTATTGATTTTATGCTTAGCATATTATCCTAATTTTCTGATATTTTTTTTTGACCTGTTAATTGTGACACGGTAAATCTCTGAAAATTGTGAAGTGGAGCCTTTTGATGCCCATAATGTTGATATGTGGTCCACTCGTTGCTTCTTTCTGATAGAATGCAACTTGAATGGCTAAAAATTTTAGCCAGCAAGACTTGTGCATAAGTTTTTTGTTGTTGTTGTTGTTTTTAAAATAAGAAGTAGTGGAATTTGTCTAGTAGTATTCCTGGAGTTGCAAAGTAGTGCTCCAAATCTATCAGACGGTTCTTCTAAACATTTGTAATGGACTAACATTGTCGTGACACTGTGTCAAAACCTCCATTGCAGATCTGGAGAAAAACTATTTTATTTAAAGAAAATATGGGATATAGAATTGCACCTGAAAGTCATGCAAACAAACTAATACTATTAGAACATCTGAAGTTTAATGAAGTTGGACAAAAATTTAAGTATTGTTACATAATTGTAAATATTGATTTATAACTAAGTCTGCAGTGGATTGTTGGACAGACATTGAATAGCCTACGTTAGTGAATTGTTTTGAAATTTACCTTTCCTCTTTTTGTTCTCCATCACCATTGAGGTTTTTGCATGTTTAACGACTGGAAATGCAAATAAAAATAGATATATCAAGATTATAACAGTTGTTCGCTTGGGGGCGCTGCTTGTGAAATTTCAACACTCAGAAGAACGTCCATATTTTGGAGCTTTTGCCAGAGCTTCGCATTGTGCATTATAGCAATGATCACTGATCCGCCATCATCAGTTCCTTGACCACTATTATTTTGTTTCTCTAAATAGGCCTATATACATTACTCGCTTTTATTTTATTTTTATTTATTTATTTATTTTTTGTTGCTGTTTTATGTGTCTTCAAGTGATTTTATTATTCAAAAATACGCGATGGCACGAAGATGCATTGCGGCGTTGGAGCACCTGCTCATTTTCATCGTTTCTCTGGATTTCACTTTTAATTTCACTTCGGCGCAGCTGCGATACTCGCTACCAGAGGAACTGACAACGGGCGCTGTTGTTGGAAATATTGCGAAAGATTTAGGACTGGAGTCAAGTGTTTTGATCGACAGAAGATTTCGCATCGTCTCTGGATCAAAGGACTCACTTTTCCAGCTCAGTGACAACGGAGTCCTCCGCGTCAGCCGGAAAATAGACCGAGAGGAGGTGTGCGACCACTCCGCCAGCTGTATTGTCAACATTAAGACAGTCCTGGAGAATCCCTTAGAGGTACATTATGTCACCATCGAGGTTTTAGACGTGAACGATCATTCTCCCACCTTTCCTAAAAACGAGACGCATTTAGAAATATGGGAATCTGCTCTATCCGGGGCTCGGTTTCAATTGCAAGACGCACAGGATCCAGACAGCGGCGTGTTCTCTGTTCAACAGTATAAGCTCAGTCAAAATGATCATTTTCGTTTGGAGATTAAAGATAGAGGTCAAGACGGCAAAATTCCTGTTTTGTTCCTGCATAAACCACTGGACAGAGAAGTTGCCAGAAGTCATAGATTACTACTCACAGCTATTGATGGAGGAAAGCCACCTAAATCAGGAACAATGAGCATTGTTATTAATGTTTTAGATGTAAATGACAACATGCCTGTATTTACCAGAGAGTCATATACTGTGGAGCTTAATGAAAATTCACCTGTAGGGACAACAAT